ATGTAATAGCTTTCTGCTTCAAAAAAAAAAAAAAAAAACTTTTAACTAGTAGCTAACTATTATTTACTTATTATAATATATTAATAAAATATTTTACATTTAAGCTATTTAAGCTATTTACCGTACAACTTAAAATAAAAATAAATAAATAAATAATAATATTATTATTATTTTATAAACATTAAAATATTTAATTTGAACTTTAATAAGGTTTCTGCAAATTAATTTAATAAACAACTCGATCTTTTCAAGAAAAAATTAATTGTTAAAAATAAAAACATTGGCAATACAGGTTTGTATGCGGCGTAGTTCGATGAAATTTTTAAATGGTGATTACAAGTTTACTCTACTCGAAACCAAAACCTCGAGTATTTTTATTTTTTTCATCTAGCATCGCTTGACACCCTATTTATTTATAAATCTCATACATACCATTATGTCTGAGGCTGACGATGATTTCTCACCAAGTCAAACAACAGGTTACAAAGTCGGGGAGAAGAAAACCATTGATGAATACAAAAATTTAGATTCCCACGATGAATCTTTGAATAAATGGAAAGAAAATCTTTTAGGAAGGGCATCGGGTAAGGAATTGTATTTTTTCGTGCCTTGACTTGATATATTCCTCATGGTTCTCAGGGTTAATTGTGTAAATTACATTATTTGACATATCAGGTGCCTCCTCCGACAATCGTCGGGTAGGTATTTTTATTTAAGCGTAATTTATGTAGGCGTGTTGAAAACTTAATCAAATTCAACACTTAGGTTGTCATTCTGCAACTCGCGCTTGAAGTTAGCGGGAGGGAAGACGTAGTATTGGATTTATCTTCTCCAGGTATTAAAAGAAAATAGTTTGTCATAAAATGTTCGTTCGATAAGTATATTAACAATTTTTTGAATACTTATTTTTTAAGAGGCGCTCGAAAGAGTCAAGAGTACACCCTTCATTATCAAAGAAGGTGTTGAATACCGCATGAAAGTTAAATTCAGGTAGATGATTATTGACTCGAATTATTTAGAAGGAGATTTTCTTAATGACTAAATTATTATCCAGAATCCAACATGATGTTGTATCTGGTCTCAAGTATTTGCAAGTTGTCAAAAGAAAGGGCATTAAAGGTAAGGATAGCTAAGTATTACACTTTATTACTGAGTGATGTTAACCTAATATATTCGTTTTCTAGTCGATAAAACCGAAGAGATGATCGGTAGTTATGGCCCTAGTGATGAACCTTATGAGAAAAAGGTAGATCTATCGCTTGTGTCTTTAAGCTCGATATCATTTTTACTCATGCATCCCGGTTGTTTTATTCTAGTTTCTACTCGAAGAAGCTCCAAGTGGTCTCCTTGCGCGTGGCCATTACGATGCGAAGGTTTTTATTTATTATTTTGATTAAAACTTGAGGGAAATGATTATCTGAACAACGTATATATAATCTCGTTTTTTCTAGAGTAAATTCGTCGATGACGACAATGTCACCCACATCGAATGGTCTTGGGTAAGAATTAATTTTTTCTCATTTTATTTAAATTTGAACTAATATTAAACCTACTGATACGATTCAATTATTTTAAATTATTTTGATATTAAAAAAGATTGGAATTAAATGAGAAGTAAACTGTAAAAATAATAATTAAATACCTTAATTTTTAAGGAATGGTCAACCTTTTTGAATAAATAATTGATCCACATAACTATTGAATAATCATCCGAGAATTAATTTTTCATTCCATAATGATGGTTGCCCCAAATCCCTCTAAAGTTTTTTTGATCTTCTCAGCTTCGTCTTTGCCAACATGTTCTTTGATAACTTTCGGCGCACTTTCAACAAATTTCTTGGCCTATGGAAAATGAAAAACATTATCCTATGAACTAAGCATGATTACAACGTGATTACTCTTACTTCAACGAGATTCATTCCTGGTAAAATGTTTTTAATTTCTCTAATGATCTTCGTCTTGGCAGATGCTTCATATTTTTCCAACTTTACGGTAAATTCCGTTTTTTCGGGTGCTTTTTCTTCCTGTTAATACAAGTAGTAAATCTCAAATGGATATGTCTTTAAGGTGTTTGAGTAAACAATTTACCTCGGCAACAATAGGTGCTGTTTCTGCAGCAACTGTAACGTTCGTTACGGGTAAAGCCACGTCTTGAATATTCAGACGAGTCTAATAAAATAAACAGTAAAAGTATATTTATATATATGTTTTTGATGAGGGTAAAGTGATCATAGTTCACCTTTAATTCTTGGACAAGTTCAGACGTTTCAAGTAAAGTCAAAGAAGCAATTTGGTCGACAATGCTGGATATTCGTGCGTTAACTTTGTTATCTGAAGTTTGTTTTGAATGCGGTTGCGAAAGTGGAACTTTCTCGTTAGAGGCTTCGGAGGCATAAAACGCGATTTGTTGACGAAGCTTATGTCCCGGGTTCAAGCAAATGGGAGCGACCCTGAAGGGAGAAAAGAAATGTTAAATCTTCTCGGTAAATTAAATAGAATGCTTGAAGAGAAATTTCAACCTGAAAGAAGTCACACCAAAGAATTGCAGTGTTCGCGTTTTAGCTATTGTGGAACTAACGCAACGCGACTACAATTTTCAAATTATAGAAATATAGAGACATAGGGATATTGCTTATTTGTCTTATTTGTCAAAACGGTAAATAAGAATGATAATTTTTAATCAAATACCGCACCATGATGAAAATTTGAACTATCGATTAGATTTACTGTACATCAATATAAACCTATTCATGTGGCTTAACATTCTTATGCACGTACGTGTGCACTCCTTCATATACATATAAATTACAATGTTTGAAAACCATTCCTTTTCGGAAACTTTGACCTAATGGATTTCATAACATTTCTCGGGATATTTACGATACTCGGGATTGGTGTCGTAAGTCTCCCTACGATTCGAATGTTCTCCCAACAAGATTTCAATTAAACATGTATTATACTTTTCAATTAACTTTAGTTCTTCTCGCTCTTGGTATTCTTTACACCAAAACCTCGAAAACGGTTAGAATCCGAAAGATACTACTTGTCGTCTAAGACAGAAAAATCGCAGATTTTACCTAGCATTTTCGACGAGCCGGAATTATCCTTGACAGTGGTGGTCCCTGCGTATAATGAGACGAAGAGAATACCCGACATGTTGCAGGAAACAGTAGAATATTTAGAAAGTCGGAAGCTAGAGGACGTGAATTTCAATTATGAAATTCTAGTAGTAGACGATGGAAGCACGGATAATACAACTAAGGTTGCGTTAGAATTTGGTCAAGGGAAAAATATTGATTTGAAAGTTTTACGGTTGGTAAACAATGCAATATTAATAATTAAATCTCTATTTGCTATTTATTTTACTGATTATTATTTTTAATT